ATTCTTCCTGTGTAAAGGCGTCTTTTGGACTTCTTACTTTCTGCTTCGTTGCGCATGCAGACTGCGCTATATCAAATTTGTCGTCTTATTTCTTGAGGGTACCAATACGTAAGCTGTATTAACATGCACATCAGCTGTTCGCATGTAAGCAAAGCGCTTACGAAATCGGAATTTTACATCTATTTTAATACAGTATACCAGCACAATGAATTTTTCATTTGCTGCTCCCGTTTGTTGATTATCTTGGTACTGTTGCATCTGTTTATGCTTAGTACCGCCATTCGCTCGGTCAAACGAAGGTCAGAAGAAATTAAAAGAAATTAAGCTCAGATATTTGATAACATAATACATGAGCCGAAATTCGGACGGCTCGGACCTGTGATGAAATGTCACTGCGGGAAACATATGCGAACTTTTAACGGAATTTGCAGTTATCAACGAATGTTCGACTGCCGTGAAGCAGCTATGTGAGCAGAAATGCGTTGACTTGCCGATCGACTATCGATGTGACTGTTATGATGGCTTTGCACTGGATAAAGAGGATAAAAAATCGTGTCATGACATCGACGAATGTGAAAGTATGATTTTTTTTTTTGGTTTCAATTGGCGAAAATCCAGTTGAAAAAATCATTTGCGATGCGCACCGGGTAGGCCCGTGCGATCATGCGTTTTTGCAGTAATTCATGCTATAATGAGGCCGTCGAAAACCCAGTAGCTAGAATATGTGAAATACTGCTGCTCGAAGTTCGGAAAGTTACTTATTAAACAGTACTTGGACAGGGAACATTCCATTAAAATTTCAATTTTCTGGCTTTCCCAGTCCCCGAGTTAGCCATTTTCCCGCCAAAAATTTCCACGGGGCCATACTTGAGAACTGGAGCTGAATTCGATAAATTTATGTTGTGCGTATGTTCCCAGCATTCCCTAAAAATTTCAGCCTCCCAGCTTTCTTGGTCCCCAAGCTAGCCATTTTCCTACCAAAAATTTTCTTGGGGCCATACTTGAGAACACGCATACCAGGAAGCTGAATTTGATAAATTTACGTTGTACATGTGTTGGGAAAATTCCCTGAAAATTTGGGCCTCCCAGCTTTCCTGGGTTTCAAGTTAGCAATTTTCCCGCTAGGAATCTTTACGGGCCGTACGTGAGAACTACGCATGCCTGGAGGCTGGATTTGAAATGTTTGTGTTCTATGCGGACGGGGGACATAACTGCAAAGTTTCAGCTTTCTAACTTTTGTGATTCCCGAATTATTGATTTTTGCGCTAAAACTTTCACCCTTTTGTACGCGGGGCCCAAACTTGCGTGGGAGTTGGTGCCGCTGACCTGGGGTGACACTCGGTCGGAGAACCCTTAGGCAAAATTTTGGCGCCGGAGGTTGTTTGGGTGCCGAGTTGAAACACCCAGACAGACGCGCACACACGCACACACACATACACACACGCACAACATGTGCTATTGATATCTTATTATGTTCATAATATTCGAGTAATAAGGCGAATTCTTCAATATGCTGCTATAGTTTCGTTTGCATTGCCCAGCTGGTCTCGGCCGATGCAGTCAAGGATGTGAGAATAAAGTCGGCAGTTATAAGTGTTCATGCGTTGATGGTTATGCAATGTCCAGTGATGATCGTACGTGCAAGCGAATCAGTTCGGTGAGTTTCAAGAGTGCTTGTTTTTGGAAGATTTTACATTATTAACTATGCTAATGATAAAAA